TCAGACCCATATATAAGGTGTGTGCAGAGGACCAGTTCAGACCCATACATAAGGTGTGTGCAGAGGACCCAGTTCAGACCCATACATAAGGTGTGTGCAGAGGACCCAGTTCAGACCCATACGTAAGGTGTGTGCAGAGGACCCAGTTCAGACCCATACATAAGGTGTGTGCAGAGGACCAGTTCAGACCCATACATAAGGTGTGTGCAGAGGACCCAGTTCAGACCCATACAGTTCCGTGTTTGTTGTTTCAGTCTGTGAGCCCCTATGAGGCCTGCTTAGTTGATTCTGTGGGAAGTGTTCTTGTGGTGTCCTCAACTCCTCTGGCTCCTTCAATCCTTCCTCCCCACCCCCACCCCACACCCAGAAGTGGGGCATCCTATGGGATTGTTTTGGGATTGGGTGATTCTGATTTGGAACAGGAGGAAAATACGTACAGACATACCTTGGAGTAACATTTCTGAAGTACAAGATGTACTGTCATGGAGCAAATAGGGTTGGGTGTCTGAGGAGTTGACACAGGACAACCAAGACCGAGCTATCAGCACGAAGGAGACACTAGAGGGACAAATAAGGGAATAGCAGATGAGGGAGGAGAAAAGGGAGAAGGGAGAGAGAATAGGGGTTTTTATCCTGGGAGGGACACAGGACTGCCTCTAAATAGAGAGGAGACAGTAAAGGCCCATAGGCAAATGACACCTGTGTTAGGATGAGTTGGTTAATTTTGATCGGATGGCTTGATGGTTGGCCCTCGGTGGGCAGCCTCAGGAGGAGGAAGTGGTCAAATGCACAGGCCTTGGTGGCTAGCTTTAGAATGTAACCTAAAAGTCAGAAGGCAGAGGGACTGGGGCCAGGCAAGACCTGCCAGAGGCCAGTTTGACATGCTTGGGCCTACTAGAGCCCTTCAGTGCCCTCTCCAAATAGAAAGTGGATTCAGACTGGGACACAGGGAGATTCCGGGATGAGGGGAGTGGTGACTCATGACACAAAGCTTTATATTAGCTGGGATACATATTTGGATCTCAACTAGTCACTTCCAGGTGGCAAGGATTTGACCCATCACTCTATTAAGGTTGTTGAATTCAAATTCAGAAACACCCTTGGTCTGATCAATATTGTAATAATAAACTTCTCTTTTCAGGGAGCGGTGGACATAAGTGATTATGCTGAATCGTTTATGATCACTTGTTCATGGAATTGCAAGTCGGGGCACCAGTGGTTGAGCTTCCCTCTTGTCTTGCTTAATGAGGTTGAAATTGCTTGGGTGTTTTAGTCATTGGGGCTAGTGACAGATGATCCATACAGCATTCACTGTGACTGAGGGAAGAGAATGGCATTAGAATAACTATATCCTGGCTTACACAAATGCAAGAATAAAAAGAAAAGAGGCCAAAAGCCAGGGTCTATCTAAAATGAGAAGGATGTGAGCAGATTTTTATAGCTAAAACAAGCAGATGGGGGACCTTGGTTTAATGCCTGGAAAGGGAGCCATCTTCTTTGAGGTTGTTGGCTTGTTCTGAAGGTCCTGTGCAGCCTATAACTTTAGAAGATGGGCTGTTTCTGAAAAATCTCTTTACAATCCTGTTTGAAGTGTCTTGTCAAGTTAACTTTTCATTGTGACAAGAATTCTGATCTGCTTCCTTCTATGAGTTTTAAAAAAATACACATTAGTACACAAAGAAGTGGGTTTCATTCTGGTATTTCCATACATTCTTTGTACTTGAACTCCCTTCCTCTCTTTTCCTCCATTCCTTGCCTCCCTGTCAGTGTCCCTTCCCTTCCTCCAAGAGCCTTGTTTGCTTCATGTTACATGCATTCTGTTACTCTCTTTATTACCTCTGTGACTGGGCAAGAGTGAAGAGATTCCGTCATCTTCTATTCTTGCTGAGACCATATTAGGTTTGACTAGAATTTGATCTCCTTGATGGAAAATCCTATGGAAAATTACCTGTGTCTATTCTAGGTACTTGAGGCCAAGATGCCCCAGTTAATTTATCTTGGCTTCTGTCATAGCTGCCTGCTTGTGCAAAACCTCCCCCTCCAGCTAACTGCTTGTCTTAGCTTCTGTTAAACTGCTTGTTTGCCCAAGACCTCCCCTGTAGCTGCTGAGCAAAATAACACAAAAAATGTGGTTTTTGCCTTTAAAGGTGTTTGCTCTATACACTTGGGGCCACACTTGGGTTCCACATATCTGAGTGTAGTCCCAGTCAGCTAGGATGAAGACTTTCAATTGACTATAAACTGTTTTCTCTAGTGGTCTCCCCATAACACCTCCCTCTTAAGATTTCTTTTTTGTTTGTTTGTTTTCATGATCTCTTTCTTTGTTCCATATCTTCCCCCTGTATATGTATGTATATATATATGTAGCTATAAAAATCATCTTTCTGAATCTGGCTTTTCTCCTCCCTGAATAATAGTTTTCAACTCTGTACATCTTCATGAAAATGTTATGATTTAGCTTTTCTGTATGCCTGCATAAAATTCTACTAGGTATATATACTCCACAATTTTACCCATTCATGTCTTGATGGACATATGAGCTTGTTTTTAATTTCTTAAATATTATGGCTGGTACAGCTATCAATGTAGATGTGCAGGTATTTTTGTGGCAGGTCTATAGTACTATTTTTCAAGCTGTCTGGTTGATCTGGAATTTACTATTAAGACCAGGTTAGCTTCGAACTCACAGAGATCTCCCTCTCTCTGCCTTCAAGTGCTGGGAACCAAAGACATGGACTCCTTGGCCCAGCCTCTGTTTTTAATGTTTTGAGGAGCCTTTCTGCTGACTTCTGTAGTGTCTGCTCCTCATTGTTTCCCTGGGTGTGAAAGACCGACTCTCAGGAATTTCACTGTTGTATTTGACGCTAATTGTAATAAGTAAGTTTCCTTCCAGGGAGGCCCGAGAACAGTCTCTTCCAAGAGATGAACTTTCTTTGTTGAGGATTGCGATGAAGAGCCTACATGGGAAGGTGTTGTGGGAATACTAGGACTAGGTGTTGAACACGGCAGTATTTCACTATATCTACACGTGGCAGGTTAGATTCTATTACTAGAGGTGAAATCTCTAATTCATGGGACTTCCAGCCAATAATTCATGGGAAATAACCTATGTGTCCCTAGGGTAATAGAGCACACAGCCATGCAGATTAGCGGAAGTAGAAGCACCTTTGGCCAAGGAGTCTTAAAGTTTTGCTAATTTAAATATGAGGGCGTTCTTGGTCCTTTCAACTCATCAAAAAGAGTTGCAAAGGCAGTGTAGTTTTCAGTAAAGATTATATATTATTCAGAATTGCAATTGAGTAAGGGATAATGCCTTACAGTAGTAATTGTATAAAGTGTGTGCCTTGGTCACAATTAAGATTTTTTTTTCAACAAGACAGGGTTTCTCTGTGTGTAGCCCTAGCTGTCCCTGGAACATATTCTGTAGACCAGGCTGGTCTCAAACTCACAGAGAACTGCTTGCCTCTGCCTTCCTGAGTGCTGGGATTAAAGGTGTGCACCACCTCTGCCCAGCAAGATTTCCTTTTTTCATTTCTTTCTTAATTCCTTCCTTTCCTTTTTTTTTTTTGACCCAGGTTAAAACAAAATAAAATAGCTTTCAGTGACTGTAAAGGCTGTAGCTTTTGGCAAGGACTATCCTGAGAACAGACATACAATGACTAAAAGCTGTTTTAAAACATCAGTCTAAAAATGGCGAAAAGGCTACTGAGGTCATGGCTCAGTGCACTATTTATGTTTTTCCTAGACAATGTTTAGGCAGGTTACACATGATTCTTAGTTAACCTCAGTGATATTTGTAAAGCTTCACAGCTAATGTTGACTTGGGAGAGTAACCAGCTTGTCTTTGTTACAATGAGTGGTTTCATAGAGACATGTGATAGCCTTTGAAGATATAGCCCCAAGAAACTGTCCTGGGAGGATCAGAGATTAACTCAGTTAAAGGTCCAACCATATTTTCCCCATTCTTTCTTTCCAAAGGCAAGGGACTTAGCAATGGTATTGTACAATGGAGTCTTTGATTGGCAGAAGAGCTGTGACCTTTACATGGTCAAGGATTATTAATGGGTAAGGATTCTGGTTTGGCACAGTGAGCTCTCAGTACATTTTCGTTATTTTCCATATATTCCTTCTTTTCATATGAGCCTTTATTTTTATACGGCTACCAACCTAAGAGGTAGGAGTGCATGACAGAACCCCTTAACTTCTCGATCATTTTGGTTGTGGGTGCTAACAGAGATAAGGAACTTTCCTCCCCTCAAACATCTCATAGTCAAGTAGAATTTGTAGGCCATGCTTGCTGTCTTGCTGACATGCATGTACATATGTTCTGCCGTAGGTGAATTCTTCCATCTAAAGATACACTATTCATGAACAAGTAATAGTAGTAAAGGTTCTCAAAGGAATTTTCTAGATCTAAATGAAGAACAGAAAACTCCAGGACTCAGGTAAGACACTCCTTGGGCTTCTCTTCCAATAGCAGGGTGATGGATGCCGTTACTGCCAGTTATTGCATGATTTGAATTGAAAATCACGAGATAAATTCTCCACAGGAGTAGGCCTCTATCATTTCATAAGGTTGTGAGGCAGTAGTAAATGCTGAAACATATCCAGGTGTGGATGTAAGGTTCTGGAATCTGACTGAAACATGACTGGAGCAGATCAGAAATCTTCATTCCTTGAGAAATCCACGCAAGGGCTTCTCAACCTTCTCTTGAAGCCCTAGTATTGACTAAAGAGGGTTTATCTAACCCAAGTCAACGCCCCTTTCTTCCCTCAGATAAACCTGTCAACTTCCTCATGAATGCTCGAGGTTTCTCACTTCATCCCAGGTGGTGGTGGTGGTGGTGTGTGTTGGGGGGGGGAAGCGGGAAGGCCGGGGGTGGGGCGGACGGAGGGGCGGGAAGAAATGCCTGGAGCCGACTCTACACATGCGCCGAAGCCGAAGCCGGCGGCCTGGGCTGTTTTGGGCCTAGAGCCGCCCCGTACCGTCCGGGCGGCGCGCTGCATCCTGGGCCTCGGCGTGTGCTTTGCGGGCGCCGTCATGAACCCCGAGAGCTTCGCGGCGGGCGAGCGGCGAGTTTCGCCTTCTTACGTGAGGCAGGGCCGGGAGGCTCGGCGTGCGCACGAGCACCTCATACAGCTGCTACTAGAGCAGGTATTCCCCTGCCTCGGCGCCCGGGTTCTGCGTCTTCGGGGTGGGGAGGGGAGGGGCAGCGCGCTCCTCAGTGTGTGCGGAGCTGCCCGAGTCCAGGACTTTGGCCAGCCTGGGCCACTCGGGGGACGAGTGTGGTTGGAGTCCCGAACTTTAGTGCCCCCAAAGTTTGCAAACGGCTCATGGAGGGCATTGCCTTGTCCGTTCCCCGAACTTCACTGCGATTTTACTAAGAACCCTAGCAAACTCAGGTGTCTGTATTACCTCGGCTCGAAAGCTCTAGCTTGTAGTCAAATAGAATACGAACGTTTGTTCAGCTGGGAGTTTCTTCATCGCTGCTGAGTTTATTTCTGATTTGAGGAATCAAGGGGCATAACACAAAACACATTTAAAAAATATCACGTACATTGATGTGGGCTTTTAGGGCACGATGATTTCCTTGAGTATAAATATCCTTGCTATTTTCCTTTAAGGGCAAGTGTCCAGAGGATGGCTGGGATGAAGGTACACTTGAGCTCTTTCTGCATGAGCTTGCAATCATGGATAGCAACAATTTCTTGGGTAATTGTGGTGTGGGAGAAAGGGAAGGGAGAGTGGCCTCTGCGTTGGTTGCCCGTCGTCACTACAGGTATGTTTCTTAAACTAGTTGTGAAAGCATTTGGGTTTCATCCCCCCCACCCCCGTGGAGTAGGAGGAGCTTAAAGATGGTGATGGTACTCTTAAAAGTTTTCGCTCACAAATAATCTCTTCCCTCTGCAAATGGGCATGGAAACCAAGTGGAACTGGGAGATGGGAACTCTGAGCAGATGCGTTTCATTAAAGAGTTGAGGTTCTGATACGTGGTGGTTTCCCGCTCAGACCCTCATGGTCAACAGCGCTGTGTTCGGATAATATTTAAACTAGTAAATCTGTTTGTTTCTAAAAGCTTAATATTGTCAACACAAAAGACACAGTTTACTTCAAAAGGAGTACGAGTCTAGAGATACATGTAATTGACAAGTGATACAAATATCATGTTCTGGTGTAACAACTTCATGAAATTTTTACAATAAAAGAATCACAGAACAAAGAAAATCACAGACTTTTAAAATACACTAGTAGAAATATGGAGGTAGGCCAGGTACAGCAAAACAAGGAAATCCTATTGTAAGCCTCAGATAGCCTTTAGGTGGGGGAAATCCAGGACAGGGTCTCCGTCCATTCCACAAGGATTTACCTAATAGTCATGGAGGTGACAGGTGACACACGGGGAAGATACTTTGGTTTTGGTTGTACCTACAATTTGCCACACTCTTAGGAGTCAGACAGCCCTGTAGAATGTTTAATGTGGGTATGGCTCTTTTTTTTTTTAATTTCAGTGGACATACATCATAGTTGTGTTTCTTTTTCTTTTTTTTCTTTTTTTTTAGTTTTTAAAAGTGTCTCACTGTGTGACTGTGGCTACTCAGGAACTCACTATGTAGATCATGGTGGCCTTGGATTTATAGACATTTACCTGCCTCTGCCTCCTGAATGGCAGGATTAAAGATGTGTGCCACCACAGCCAGCCATATTTCCTTTTTAACTTGCAGGTTTTATTGGAGACTAATGAACTTGAAAGCTTGGTTTATCAGTATCTGAATTCCATTTTGTAAGTGCCATTTTTTTGTTGTTGCAAGCGATGGAGGAACAAGTGTATTAGATAATTACATTATTTGCATTAGTTTTGAAAGTTTTTTTATCCATTCTGAAAAGTGATTTATTTATTTTCTTCAAGACCTGCTTCTTCATCCTGAGTGCTAGGATTAAAGGCATGAGCCACCACTGCTTGGACAAAATGATTTAGTTGTTAATTAATAGTGCTTTTAGATATGATTGCTTATTTCCATCTACTACCCTTTCTGTGAGAAATATGAACTCTTAAGAACTTTTTTGATTTTTAAATCAAGGTGCAGTTTTTGAGGCATACTAAGATTTTTTATTAATAAAAACATTTGCAGTTTGAACTGATGGTAGTGAGTATGGATGTAGATTTCCTGTCTAACAGTGCTCTGTAACATGGTTCAATATCATATATGTAGAAGGCTTATACATAAGGTGTGCTCATAAGGAAGTATACCACTAGTGCTCTGTGATATTCTCCTTATATAGTTTCTGACCTAACTGCATGTAAGAGATTGAGTTTACAGAAGGATTATTTATTTTAAAGAGCATTCAGAGGCATCAATAAATGTATAGGACCATCTAAGGCAAGTGCATTTGTACACTCATTTTCAAGAAACATAATTAAAACAAAATAGGGCAGTTTTTGCTAGGGATGGTGGTACTGCCTGTAATCCCAGCACTTATCAGAAACAAGGATGTTCCAAAGTATAGGGTTGGCCAGTGCTACCTAGTGAGATACTGTCTCAAAAGACCACTATCACCACCAGCAGCAAATTAGGACAGTTTCTGAAGCATTAGTTCTTTCAGGTTGGAATCTGTCCCATTGCTGTGGTGGGGGAAGGAAAGAGGGAATAGGATGTTTCCTGTACCATGGTTTTAAACAGATCTTTCCAAAGGTTAAGTGGCTTAAAATGATCACTATTTCTCCCAGTGTGATGCGTTAATTGAGCTCAGCAGCTGAGTGTTTTGGGTCTCTGGTGTAATTGTCAAATGTCAGTTAAGAGTGTAGTTTTGTTGATGGGTAGCGTCAGCAGTCTATTAAAGATGACTTGGTTCCATGGGTGAGGGCTCAGCTTGCCTCTCCTGTGATGTGAGCTTCTCCCAACATGGCAGCTGGATTTTGAGAGGCAGTACACACTAGCAAACTCTCCAAGAAGTCTGATGAAGACAATACTTTCTGTGTTCTTCCCAGTCATCAAGTCAGTAAGGACACCCCTACATATGGATCTAGATATGTGAGAGAATTAGACCAACAGGAGAAAAGAAATTGATATGGTTGTCTTTGGAGATTATTCCACATTGGGTCATAACGGAAGTATACATACAACAGTGAAAGATTGCCTCTGCTAACTTTTGGTTATTTGTTTGCAAACCTATGTATTAACTACTTGAACACTGAGTGAGTTTGTACAGTTTTTGGTTCACTTTTTGCTTAGGTTGATCCATGGAATTGGACGATCTGGTGATATTTCTGCTGTGCAACCAAAAGCTGCAGGCTCTAGCCTCTTGAACAAAATTACCAATTCTTTGGTGCTTAATGTCATAAAGCTGGCTGGTATGTGTCATGTCAATCATAATGTGACTTGTGAGTAAACAGCATGCTAGTTTCTTGTATTATATCTCTTCAAAATCAATATGAGTGGCTTTTAAGAGGGCACACATGTAAACCTATTTCAGAACAAGACAGAAAATAACCCAGGAATGACTTTTAACAACAAGTTTCATGAGATCAAATGAGAAAGAGAAACACCAGGGTTACAGTCCATTTTATTTTATAAAAGAAATGTATGATTTCTTCCAGAAGGATGCTGACTTTTAGTTGTTTTTATTTTTTAGATGGGATGATAAATTGTTTTATTTCTTATTTGCAGGTGTTCATTCAGTGGCCAATTGCTTTGTAGTTCCTATGGCAACCGGTATGAGTTTAACCTTGTGTTTTTTAACATTACGACACAAAAGACCAAAGGCCAAGTATATCATATGGCCACGAATAGACCAGAAGTCCTGCTTTAAGTCCATGGTCACTGCAGGTAAAAGACATGCAGCATATGTAATGTTTTAAACATCCAGTGGGAAAACTCAAGATTTTTATATAGAGATAGGTTACTGAAAAATTAAATGTGTACCATATTCATGCTTCAAAGAAATTGTAGTATTCATAAAATTTAGCACATATTTTGTTTTAGCAACTTGTAAGCTTATATATACTTATATTTACCATTAAAGTTTGCATAATTATTTGTGAGGTGATCTTTAATTATGTGCTAGTTAAGTACAATATTTTAATTAAAAATCTGAAGGATTCTTGGACCATGAGATGGGTCAGTGATCTCCAGGCAACTGAAATTAATTTTCTTTGGTGGTAAAACAAAGTTTATGGGTGTGATTTATTTCAGTACTTAAATTTTATTATCTATCTCTGAATAGAGTAAACTTAAGTGAAACTGATATGTTCCTAGAGAATAAGTAGGCTTCTTTTTTTTTTTTTTTGACAGAACTTGAACTTGAATAGTCTTTTTGGTTACTAACACCTGAGCATTTAACTTCTGTAGACCTTTGGTTAACATGTGCTTTCCTTACTTTATAGAATCTGTTGGTCCCTGTCATTTCAGGTGCTAAAGGTCCAGTCTGGGTGTCTAGCTGTCCTTCACACCCTTTTGACTTTTTCTGATTAATGCCAGTTCTGATTGTCTTAGTTAGGGTTTGTATTGCTTTGAAGAGACACCATGACCACAGCAACTCTTAAAAAGGAAAAACATTTAATTGGGGTGGCTTACATTTTCAGAGGTTCAGTCCATTATCAACATGGTGACTGGAAAGTAACTGAGAGTCCTACATCTTGATGTCCAGGCAAGAGAAAGTATTCTGAGACACTGGGTGAAGCTTGAGCATAAATGAGACCTACCCCGCAGCAACATTTCCTCCAACAAGGCCATACCTACTCCCATAAAGCCACAACTCCTATTATGGGGACCAGTTATATTCAAACTACCACAGTGAGCCACTGTTTTTATTTCTAGAGGAAAAGCTTGTCATTTAAGTATTTAGAGTTTTTATGTGCAATTGCATTGCTTCCTAGAGTTCTAGAGTCATCTTGCATTTAATTTAGACTAATGCTTAGGTTTTTGGTTGACTTGATTAGGTTTCGAACCCGTGGTGATAGAAAATGTGTTAGAAGGCGACGAGCTGCGCACTGACCTGAATGCAGTGGAGGCTAAAGTCCAGGAACTCGGGCCTGATCGTATTCTGTGCATTCATTCTACCACGTCCTGCTTTGCTCCAAGGGTGCCTGATAGGTAACTGACTTGTGAATATTGGTCTTTGGTTCTTGCTTTACCAGCCTTCTGAATAAATTGTGCCCACCAGTTCTCAAGCATGTCGAGATAACTTTTGGTAGTAAGTAGTGAATATATTTGCCTAAAAGAATAGGTTGACTTAGGGAGCATTATTGTAGTGGGTTGGAGAAGTTTGATACTGAAGGAAAACCAGCTGATGTAGAGTTGGAGATCTGCTTATCCAAACCTTAGGATTATTTGTCTGCTTTCCTGCTCTTGCCATTTTAAGTCTCTCAGAGTCATTTTCCTAATTGCTTAAGCTTTTCCAAGTGAATTGCTGGCTAAATAGTTTTTCCTGTCTCTATTTCTTTGGCTTTGCAATTCATTTGCTAAGTAGGAACTATCATCACTAACAGATTATAAATAAAATACTTTAGGATTATTTATATTTCTTTGATTGGGAGATTAAGCTAGATGTGTATAGTGATTATCCACATTTTGAAGATAATATAAATTACAAAATTAAAACCATGGGGTGGCAGATGTCCCCTTTTCTAAAGGATAACCACAATTTTTTTTTTAATTTGAAAATGTCATAGGCCTTAAATTTATTAACAGAAATTTCTGTTTTTGCCAGAAGCTCTGGTTAACAGAAGTTAAATAATGATAAGAATTGTGTTAACTTTGGACTCTGGTTGCTAAGCTTTTGTATTTGTTGACTCATGGTTTGGCAGTGATAACCACATGCTAGCTTTTATTATCTTACAGGCAAATTTTAAAAGATCATATTGAAGCCATGCTCCTGAAAATTTGCGTTGGGTCATTCATGAGCCTATGAATGTTGTTTTAAAATTATATTACATATGCTATAGTAGTTTATTAATGACCAATCATTTTAAATTCTACTGAAATATTAAAGAAATGATATTTATTAATAATTTTGATATCTAAGAAATTTTAATGGAATAGAAGTAATTCTCATTTCCCAAAACAACAAGTATGTGGGTATTGTATTAGTTGAATTATTTTTCCCTGGTGAGTTTTGCTTCATTTTGAGCCATGTTTTCAGTGTGTATAGTGCTACATTGTTTTACACATGGCCTGTTAGAATTTAATAGTCAGCAAGTAGTCATTTGTTACTCATTAGTTGTGTGATGTAATGAATGCTTTTGATGAGTGAAGTTTATGAAAATGTCAGTGTAAAGTTATTAGTATATTTGATTTTCTGATGTTATAGTCTTAATTTTAGAGGTATAGCATATATTTTGTTTTTATTGGTCAATTATTGGGAAGTATTGAGTATGAAATCCATGTAAAAGAATGTCACTTCTTGTGGCTATTAAAATTATCTTCTGATTTAGAGTACAGTGGGATTCACATGGAAAGTCTGTTTTCTCCTTTTCTTTGCCTTTCATTTAATGCCTTCTTATGACTTACTAACACATCTGATTAATTTAGATCATTTAAAAACTACTTACAAGTTTGTTGTTTTTAAAATAACTTTTAATATTATGGTGTCTTTTTTTTCAAGGAAGTTATCATAGAATTCTTTCACTACAGCACACACATGAAAAAAGTGCCTTTTTATCTTCTGAAGAATGTGTGTGTGTGTTCAAAGTCTATTTTGTTAGTAACAGAAGAATTTTGGTATTGATTGTGAGGCAGGTGTGTGTGGGGGATTGGAGGGATGGGTTCTTTGTGTGTGTGTGTGTGTGTGTGTGTGTGTGTGTGTGTGTGTGTGTGTGTGTGTGTGTGTGTGTGTGTGTGTGTGTGTGTTTCCCAGTGGTTGATTTTGGGTGTCTTCCTCTATCACTCTCTACTTTACTCTTTGAAACAATGTGTCTTACTGAACCTGGGAGCTTCCTGCTTCAGGTAGAATGGCTAGTGCTTAAGCCCCAGAGATCATCCTGTCTCTGCCTACCTGGTGCTGGGATTATAGGCACACAGTGCCACGCCTGGCTTTTTAAATGTGGAATTGAACTCAGGTCCTCATGCTTGCAAGGCCAGCACTTTACTGATTGATTGATCCATCTCTCCAGCCCTAAAAATTAAGTTTTATTCATGTCTTAGTCAGTGTTCTGTTGCTGTGAGGAGACACCATGACCATGCTAACTCTTATAAAAGAAAACATTTAATCAGGGCTTGCTTACAGTTTCGGAGGTTTAGTTTATTATCCTGGCAGGGAGCATGGTGACATGCAGCTAGAGCTGGTGCTGGAACAATAGCAGCAAGAAGAGACACTGGGCCTGGCTTGTGCTTCTGAAACCTCAGAGACTACCCCAGTGACATCCCCAACAAGTACTGTGACTCCCTGATGGTTAAGCACTCAAATTTATGAGTCTGTGGGGACCATTATTATCCAAATCACAATTCATAATACTTAAAGGAAGCAAATTGAGATTCTGCCAAATGAACTTGATCTTATTCCTATGTATAGTTTTAAGACATATTTACTTGTTCATGTCTAGCAAAAAAGGTATCTCATGCATTCCACTCATTTATTTATTTATTTACTTACTTGAGACAGGGTCTTGCTGTGTATTTCTGACTGACCTGGGATTTACTATGTAGAACTGGCTAATTTTGAACTCACAGAGATCCATTTGCTTCTGCCTCTCTGTGCCAATATTTTAGATACCTCCTTTTGGAAAGAAACATAAAAATGCTTTGCTTTCAAATTCTGTTTGATTAATTACATCACAGGATTTAGTTATAGTTTTGCAATATGCTGACTTTTTTATAGGTGGCTTTAGTCACAAGTAGTATAGGATTTTGAGAAAGAACCTCTGATGTGTTGTGGTTCATTGCCATACTTAACATAAATTAGACTTTCAAATTGTCTTTTAAGAGAGGTGTCAGACGAAAGAGTGAAGAAGGGTAGGTTTTTGTTTTTTTTGTTTTTTGAGACAGGGTTTCTCTGTATTGCTTTGGAGGTTGTCCTGGAACTCTTCTCTGAAGGGTAGATGTTAAGACAGAAATTTTAAACGATGTATTCAAGTTGTTAGGCAATGTCAGTGAGTTTTGATATGGGAATGTTGCAGGGTGTGTCGTGTCATCCGTGACCCTCCCCCTGCCTTTTTCTTTTTAAAAATGGAGGTCTACTTGAAAGTGTATTTTTAAAAAAATTTTTGTGAGGTTTCTTAAGGTTTCTAGATAGGCTTATTATTTTGTCAATACTAGCTTCATTATGATGAACAGTCAATGGGGAAGAAGAGGATTGCAGCACTTCTAAGCTCTGTGTTTTGCATGTAAGAACTTTGGAAATTGTTTCAAAGTTACCATCATAAACTTTTTTTTGTTGGTTTTGTTTTGTTTTTTTTTTCCTTTGAGACAGGGTCTCATTATGTAGCCTGGCTGACCTGGAACTTGCTGGTTAGTCCTGGCCTCGAATTTGCTAAATTAGTCTAGTCTGGTCTTAAGCTCAAAGAGATCCTCCTGCCTCTGCCTGTGAAGTCATAAGCTTTTGTAAATTTTTTTCTCTCATTTATTGGAAACATTAAGGGGTTTTCTAAGTCTTTCAAAAGTGCTTGCTATGTATTTCCAGGCTGATGAATTACATGCGAAGATACTATACTACAGAGGGGATTCAGTTTGTCATTCCCCTTTTCCTTTTCTTGATGTACCTTATGACTATTAATAAAAACTTTCCATAATTATTTATAAAGCACAGTATGAGTATGTCTTTCTGTAAATGTTTATGTTTATAGATTAGAAGAACTGGCTGTGATTTGTGCTAATTATGACATTCCGCATGTAGTCAACAACGCTTATGGATTACAGTCTTCCAAGTGCATGCATCTCATTCAGCAGGTGAATTATTATATTAATATTATATACTATAGGATTATGACTTTTTTCCTACAACCCAATACAGTGAAAGTTATTTAGCTCTCTACTTTGGGGAGCATTAGAAACTTGTATCCAGTATTATCTTAGTAAAAGTCATTATTCCTAGGTAGTATGATGGTAATTGGATAGTAGCTTTTAAAGATTTGTTTATGCATATATTTTGTGTGTATACTTGTGTCAGTGTGTGTAAGTGTATGTATACCTATGTGTCTGCATGCGAGCGTGCTTGGTTTTGCGGTTGGGGGCCAGAAGAGGGTGGTGAGTGTCCTTCTATTGTTATCCTATTCCGCAGAGGCAGGGTCTCTTTTGGACCTGTGGGTTGACTTTTCTCAAGTAGGCTGGAAGCCAGCCAGCCCCAGTCATCCCCCTGTCTTCACCCTTGTTGGAGCTACGGCTTTAGGTGTGTGTGAAATGTCTGCCTTGTCACGTGGATTCTGGGATCCAAATTCTGATCCTCGCGGTTGTACAGCAAGTGTTCTTACTGGGCAAGCCATTTCTCCCACCCCTGGGGAATAGCTTTGATGGTTCCGAATCAACATAGAAATATTTCAGTAGCATCCTTAACTTCCTGGGATTTTTTTTTAACCCAGGATACTCATTTTTCTAATGTATTGAATTACAGTATTTCAAAAACTATATTGATGATCATATTTTGCATAGAAGGAAAACAGGAAGAGTAAGAATGAACCATGTAAATACATAAACATTTTCAAATCTTAAAGAAATATAAACATTTAAGTATTTTCCAATATTTAAAGGATCTTTCAGTAGCTGCTGCTGTGTGACCTTTACTTATTCACCCTTACCTTCTCTTTGGTATCTTTTCATCATTCCATAACTTTGGAAGGCTGCCTCACAGGTCTAGACGGATCGTGTATGATGTGTGTGGAGCAGAAGAAAGGTATACAGTGTTGTGCTGGAACTTGTGAACACTTTACACGGATGACTCACTTTTATTGCCTCTCCTTTCCCCTAGTTCTTCTCTTTACTTTCTAATACTTGGTGTGTTTGTGTTCATGCACACACATGTGCGCCATAGCATACATATGGAGGTCAGAGGGCAACTCGTAGGTGTCAATTCATTCCTTCAACCATAGGGGTTCCGGAGATTGAACTTGGACTATCTGGGTTGGTGACAAGTGCCTTTAACCACAGAGTCATCTCACTTTGCCCCTCCTCCTGTATCTTTAATGCTTTCAAAATTCAAACGCATCAGCATCTCTAAAAGTATATAAAAGGAAGGAGCAGGTGGGTCATAGCTATCATTTCTTTAAGTCATAACTATCTTCTAAGTATCTTTATCATTTATAATGGATATTTTTCTGTTTTTGTGAATGTTCTATTTTCACATAGTTGTAGTCATTGTGTGTATTTAACAAAATACTTTAAGCCTTGTTAGTTATATGTTTATGCTTTCCACATGCCTATATTGTCTTCATACACATCGTTTTAAAGATTGATTGATTTAATGTATGTGAGAGTGAGAGAGAGATGGCCTGGGGAGACCAGAAGAGGCATTACATCCCATGGAACTAGAGTTAAAGGTGTTTTGTGAGCTGACATAGGTTGGTGCTGGGATAGGAATTCTGGTTTTCATGCTAAAGTAGCAATTGCTCTAATTGCGGAGCTATCTCTGCACACCCAGATGAGTCATTTTCTTAGACGTTATTCCCTAATTGAGAAGTACTCAGGGTTCTGGGGCTCACAACTTACTTTTGAATACTTGAAAGTGGGGTGGTATGCTTACGGAGAGCAAGACTAAGGGAAGCAGTTGTAGAGTTGATGTGAAAGGCGTCCTTGGGGCCACTCTTCCTGGTACCCAGGTTTGCCATGCCCACGCGTGTGCGCACGTGTGTGTGTGTGTGTGTGATGCTTCTCAAATTCACTTGCTGTCATGTAGGTATTATAATAACCTTCTAAAATCGATTTGTTTTTTAAGTAGTAAATAAGCATTTCTGCAGGTTGGCCTGTGTGAGGAGAGGTCATGGCGCTGTTGGTAAATATATAGGTCTTATTGAGTTCTGACTGCTATTTCATGACATTCTAAATAGAGTTAACTTTCACTCACAGCTGTGATCATGCACTTTATCAAGGACCCACCATGTGTGTTAGGCATCTGATCAGGCTGTTAATGTTTTTAACTAATCCTAATAAGTTAAGTAGTACTTTTCATTGTTCTTGTTTGTATATGAGGAATCATTCTCAGTTGTTTACGTGATTAACCTGAGGTCTCATGGCTTCAGAATAGCCTGTATAGCAGTCTGACACAAGGACCCAACATCTACCTAAAATACAGCACATTAAAACCACAAGTCCCGAGAAAGCAGTATCACAGTAATCACATAATTAGTGAAGAAAACAGTTATAGGTGAAATGTCTTAGCATTTTCAAAAGATGTTCCAGAATGACTTGGTTCTGAGTAGATAAGATACTCTGTTGTGCATACAAAGTCTCAAGAAGTACACTTCTGATTCTGTTTACTTAAATGCCTAATTTGAGATTTTGGGACTGATTAATAGAGGTACATAGTAGAGCTATAAAAATATGTGTGTGGGATTGACTGTTTAGAGTAGAATATGAAGCTCCAAAATGTGGGAAGCAGTGACTTCAGTTACTAACAATTGGAGCTAAGTGGGTGTTACTGCTACTCAGCCACATGCCTGATGGTTATTTCCGTCATTAGATTTTTGAGTTCCCATTAGTGTGTGAGCTACCAAAATATGGCTGCAGCCTATTCCCCATCAGTCTCTACCTTGCTAGTTTTTTTTTTTTTCTCCTTAGTGGCAGCCTTTTGTTAGTATGGGACATTTCTGAGACCTAGTGTTTTCTTGCAACGGAGTGTGCAGTCTTTATGGTGAGAGGCTGGCCGGGTGTGGCGCTCTGGAGCACTGATTCCTCCTCCTCAGGCTTCCCATTCCCTGTTGAGGTTCAGGTTCCGCTCAGGCCTCGGCAGTTTTCTGTCCACTTTTCAGCGGGCACCGCTCGCTGTGCTTCTTCACCATTTATTCTGTTGGTGTTTATGCTGCTTCCTCCTCCTGAGGTGAGGCGGGTTTTCGTCTGTTCATAGTTGTTAGGAAGTAAGAATCGTGCTGAAAGTCAGGTGATGGTCTCTGAGTAGTCTGTTCCCCTCCCGGCTTCTGCCGCCTCTACCTGTTGCCTACCTCTGGTCTGTCAGATTAGGCCAGCTATCTGTGATTTCCATTCTCCCTGAGATATAAAAGTGGGGAGGAAGTGTGAAAACGAAGGTCAAATGTGGTTATAATATTAATAGAAATGTAGATTGTGAATACAGATTGAAAATCTGTGGCTGCAGATAAAGGGAAAAACTCTGTGAGTTGAAATTTAGATGGTATCTCAATGTTTAAGAGGAGAGAATTGCAGCACATTTGACAGAAGGTCATAGCTGTTTCGGATGGGAAGCAGAACTTGGTTCCACATTTCTGGTAGGTCTGTGTTCCTTTCTGTGCTGGGATATTAGACTTCCCATTTGAAGTTCATTTGCAGTGGAATGAGACCATCTAAGATACCACAACATTAAGGGTCACAAGTTATAGAGAAGCATTGATTTTTTTTTTGGAACTGCCTGGAATGTACAGATGAAATTGCTATTGGTTGATGATAAACATAAAATCGGTCTTTCTCTTTTGTGATCAGAACTTGGTTAAAGGCTGGGCTTGGAGCTTTGTGCGGGGGGCCACATAAAGCTCCTGTGGTCAGTCTCCAGCACTATAAGACAAACAGCAAGCCCAAAACAGAAAAAGGTCAGTAGACTGTCCCAAGTGTCAGAGACAGGCACTTCATTTTCTAGCCACTTGGTTGACACTTTGGGCAGCTGTAATTTATTAGATTGTGATGCTAGTATTTAAAACTATTTAATCATCATAGACCTTATAGTCAAATAAAAGTCACATGTGTGAGGCATGGGAGAAATGCTTTGTCTCTTAGTTTTAAGGTAAAAAGCTGTTTCAGAGGGATTCCCTCTTGCACTGGTAATGAAACCACACCTGCTTCATAGAGGTTATGAGTTTGATGATTAATCTGTGAAAGCCACCGTACACTGCAGGGTGCTGGGTATTAGGCATATAATGAGCACCGCCCAAAGCTGTGGATCAGTTATGTAAACCCTGGACTTGCACTGCTACAAAGAAAGTTACAGCCCTTCACCTGCTTTTTAAGAAATGTCTATGCACTGTTTTAGGGATACTCAGTTTTGCTTTTAATTAAGGTAAAATTAGCCTTTCTAAATGTGGGAATGAAATTTAATTGTATATATCATTTTGTATAACATCATTTTTGTTGTGACCTTTGTGTGTTAATAGTAGTTATTATCTGACCTAGTGACTAACATGTGACCCATGTGTTACTTGATTCTAGGGGGCTCGGGTTGGTAGAATCGACGTTTTCGTTCAGAGCTTGGACAAAAATTTTATGGTTCCAGTAGGTGGTGCTATAATTGCTGGCTTTAATGATTCCTTCATTCAGGAAATCAGCAAGATGTACCCAGGTAAATGGATACCTTGTTTTTCGGAAGAAATAACTAATGAACAAAAATGCATGTGCATATAGCCTGCTGTGATGAACTAATTTCCAGAGCCTCCCCATCAGTCCTCCTTCATGTGCTCTGCCCATCTGTTTTCAGGGAGAGCTTCGGCTTCGCCATCCTTAGACGTCCTTATTACCTTGTTGTCACTCGGCTGCAATGGCTACAAGAAGCTGTTAAAGGAAAGAAAGGTGAGATCTTCTCCCTTGTTTAAGCCTGTGTGTTACTCATGGGAGCCACTGTTGGGTTTTTAAATCTCTAATTTGTCATATAGAAGCTAATCATCCTTTCTGTCCAGATCTGCTGAAGAATAGTTCAAATGCATTGCTTTACTATTAGTATTTGTTATTTAGAAACATCTGCATTGGAAATGACTTGTTCATTTGTCACCTAAATGTAGAGGGGCTCTCCTTTTTGTGCTATTCATTTTTGTTAACTGTTTTCTTTTACATTTATTGTGTGCTCATGTGCACATGCCATGGCGCATGTGTGGAGGTTGGGGACCGTCTGTGGGAGCAGAACTGAACTCGGGTCATCAGGAGTAAGAGGAGGGGCCTTGCCCTTTACCTACTTGCAGTCTTACTAGCACTGCTTTTTCTTTTAGGACAGGGTCCTGTTGTGTGGCCGTAACTGGCCTAGAGCTGGCTTATGTAGACAAGGCAGGACTCAAACACTGGGCAATCTTCCTGCCTCTGCTTCCCAAGTGTTGGGACTGTAGGCATCCATCACCACTTCTGGCACAGAGGCTGTCTTCAAAGACTAGTGGGAAAGTTTCCATTGAGTGATTTGGAAGCCTGAAGACTTGTGGTGTGAAGGACTAGTCCTAGATGAAAGAACTAGTAGGAGTTGGACATCTTCTTATACTAAAATAATAAATCTCTCCATCGTTGTTGAAATGGTGGACTCTTACTTATATTAGCTGTGAAAAAAAAAAAAAACGTAAGCTTGGTGGTTTGGGCCTGTAGTAGTTAGCTACTCAGGAGGCTGAGGCAGGTGGATCACTAGAGCCCAGAAATTTTGGCCAACATAGTGAGATACAATCTTTTAAAACAAACCATCAGAAAAGCTTCATTCTGGACAGTTCTATAATTGTTGATGGGTCAGATTAGATTAAAGAGTTTATCCATTTCCAATCAAGGAATACTTAGAAGCCCCTGGCATGGCATTTGTGTCTGTATAGCCTTATTGCATCAACTAGCAATTGTAATCCTTTGGTGTACTTCACTTATTTTGAAGCACGGGCATAACTATATCTCACAGATGCTCTAACAGTCTTACTCCTCAAATAGATTTGATGTCTAACATTTTTGTGACATTTTACTCCAATCTTCCTTTCCCTATTAATCCATGGAAAAGTAGTCGTTTACCTTTTAAATTCTGAGAATGTTTAAGATTTTTATGATCATTCATTAGAGAAATGCAAATTTAAAAGCACAGTGAGTAACCATTACACACTTACTAGAAATGGCTAGTTCAATAATAAAAACACAACTAAAATAACGAAAACCTGACAGCCCTGAACCCTGTCAAAGATCTGAAGCAGGTTGAACTCTTAAACACTGCTGATAAGAATATAAAATGCAATGCGGTTTTGGAACATACTGTGGCAACTTCCTAAAAATTAGACACAGCTTACCCAAAGCAGATATTCTGCTTCTAGTTGTTTGCTCGAGAGAATGAAAGTTGAGTTTGTATTAATATCTATAGTTAAGTGCTTATAATGATTCAGTTCATAATTGCCCAAACCAGAAGCAAATATCCTTCATCTGATGGACGGAGGGACACACTGGTGCATCTGTCCTTAGCAATAGACATATCCAACTACAGATACACAGCAAATGATAACACAAGTGCAAATAATAAACAACATAAGTCGGACTCGGGAGACTCATGTGGTTTCATCTACCTTGGAAGAGGTGGAAGAGACGGGGACAAAAAACAAACAAACAAAAACAGATGGGTTCTGGAGGTTAAGGTGGGGGAGATGTCTTACAATTACGTCTTTAGTTGACATGGCTTTGTGGCTGTGTATGTTTGTTAAAATTCAGAAATGTGAACATTTGGAAAGTGGACCCTTGAAGTTTTACCATGTATAAATTGTACAGTGTTAAACCAGACAACAAACTTTTATATGGTAAGAATAAAAGTATAGTTTTACACTCCCATGAAAGTAGTCACTGTTATATATTGTTATGACTCAGGGAAGACAAGTCTTTAGAGAAACCTTATTCATATCATCAGGATCCTAAGGTGATCCTTCATGCTTGTGGGGCTTAGAGGACAACTAAGGAGTTGGTTCTCACCTTCCACTGTGACTTCCAAGGAACTTCCACTGTGAGTTCTCAGGTTGTCAAGCTTGCTCAGTCTGCTAAGCCATGCCACTGGTCTTCTGCTAGGTTCATTATATCCATTCTTTGAGGTAGTACTCATTGTAGGGATTGTCTCCATTTTGCATGTGAAATTGTGATCTGAGAAGACAAACTTGCTCAAGGACTGGCTGGCCACTTTCAAGTCCCAGAACTGCTGTTCAGGCTCCTATGTATGTTGTCTTACCACTGTCTTCTCATGTTTGCAGTTACTGATACAGCACTGAGGGAGTGATGAACCTTTCTTGCTAGGCATATGAGCCATAAAGATGATGATTGATCTACTGGCCCTCCCATTCTATCTAGTGGAGGTTATTTAAAAACCCCAGAGGCTCTCAAATACACTAATTGATTTTATTTAAAATCTTTGTATAGAATTACTTAAAACAAAAGCTGTCCAATGGTGTAATTTCCAGAATACTAAAATACTGGTCTAAGAATTCAGACATTACATGTTAAGAAATTGTTCTTTAATCTCTTCACACAGTAGGTCTTCCTGTGGAAAATGTGGGTGTCCTCCATAATGACAATTGCATATATGTAGCATGAATACTGTTTTTTTTTTTAAATTGAATTTGGTGCAGAAATGAAGCCTTTTTTGTCTAAATGAGCTTCTCTCTGCTGTGAACGGTTCATCATGGTAGTTTATTGGTTCAGCTGTGGAGAAGCTGAGGCAAAGCTATTTTGCGCCAGCCAGAGCTATTTATAAACCATCACTGAGAGAGCCTTTTTATGTTGTTGCTGTTATGTGAACTAAAAAAAGGAGTGCTAAAGGAAAACTTGGGATTTCTTTTTATTCTGTGCCCTTATTCCCCACAATGGTATTTTTAGAGGTTATTTCTTCAAGCTATATCTCTTTAGAAAAGGCTTTACCTTTGTCACATAGAGGCAGACAAGAACTCAGCTTGAAGCCATTCCTTTTCTCAAGCTGTGCTTTCTGAAGGGTGAAAGGATCAGAGAGTGGAACTTTGTGTGTGAATTGAGCCTCTGCCCCATAGCCCCTCCCTGATCCGCATCTGCTTCATGGAGGGAAGAATGACCAGGAGTTTAACGAAGAGGCCTTGAAGAAGAGAGGTTAAAATTCAAGAGACTGTTTTCTTTGAGTTTTTTTATGCAGAAAGAAAAGATCAGCCTTAGAAGTTTGTCCTCACTTCTGCCTTGCTTCCAAAGAAGCCCATTATTCTGCCCAGCTCTCCATGTAGAAGAATGCTTTGCTGACCAGGGTGGCGGACAGTCATTTATTGTTGCAAGTATCTGCTGGATTAGACAAATACAGAAGAGGGATGTAGTAGAATGACTGTTCTGGGACTAGAACTTATGAGCTGAAGCTTAAAGGACAAACGAAGAGCACTAGATTTGCAACTTCAGTAGCTTAAAACAAAGCTAAATTTGGAAGAAGTAGTACATTTATGCCCTACAAGTGGAATTCTTGAATCTCATGTCAATGTCCGGTTTGGGGCTTAGATGTGAGGCTTCAGCATCTTGAAAGCAGTGTTTTTGCCACTGAGGCCAGCCTTGCTGAATGTGTATAGGTCCTTGGCAGCCACAATGGAGACCACAATATTTAGTGCCATGTTCTTCAGCTATGATATCTATGTATGTGGATATGTATCCATGCTGTTGTCCACCTGTCCATGCTTTTATTCCTTACCTTCTGAGACGGACATGGAACACAATTTTCTCCTACCCCATCACATGACACAGCATGTTTCACAGACATAGCCTAAGACATTTTCTTGGAAGTTTGATGAACTGTGCACATCTGGATTCTAGTGAGGGATGGTCTAGATGTTGGGTTTCTTGACTGAAGATAATTCTGCAATCCAAAGACCATACAAAAGATAATGCTTAATATAATTCAGCTCCTTTTTCATTAAAAGTATAAGGTTTTGTGTTTTTATTACAGAAATATAGCTGACATTAGCATTCAGGTATACGGTTCTGTTTATCTGCAGTGAGAGTCTTTTAAAATTAAGTTAAATACAGCACAAAGGACATAGAAAATCAATATTATTTCATTTCTTGTAAGTAGGATTTTCTATACACATTTGCTTGGGCTGCTTATAAATTTCTCCCATTACAGAAGTATTTTATAATAAATGTCAGTTATAGATCTAACTGTAGCAGAAAATAGTACAAGTTCTGTAGCACCTTCATACATCAGGTAAAAACTGCTTAGCTCAGTGTTAGTGTAGGATTGCTATACAATCTTCTGAGAGATAGTTTTAAAGTGTGGTGATATTTAATAGGACATTTAGTACTCTAATACATGGATTGTGTACAGTTTGGTATATTGCACTTGCGGTATTAGTTTACCTATTACAACATCTACACTCAGTAAAGAATCTGTAAATATTTGTTGTTGAATATGAACTTCATTTGAAAATAATTTTTTTAAGACTGAGTTACTTTAACACTAATGATATATGAGATTTAGTTGCCTTACGATTATCTTTATAACAAAGATATCTCTCCTCATGTTAGTTACAGTTAAAATTGAATTCTGGCTAGGGATGAAGACATGAATCTATAATCCCAGCACTCAGAAGGGCAAGGCAAGCCAGGCGGTGGTGGCGCACGCCTTTAATCCCAGCACTCGGGAGGCAGAGGCAGGCGGATCTTTGTGCGTTCGAGGCCAGGCTGGACCAATAGCGCCTCCGAAACAATACAGAGAAACCCTGTCTCGTAAAAACCAAAAAAAAAAAAAAAAAAAAAAAAAAAAAGAAGGGCAAGGCAGTCTAGGCTTCATGGTGACACCAGGCTTCAACAAATAAAGCTGAGCCTCTGAATTTGTTAGCATTAGCCAGTAATTGATAGAGCTGGTTGAAAGCATTAATGGATTAGAATTGAACATGCACAAATTCAGTTTTCTAATAACCATATATGTGTATTTGCAGGTACCTTCTAGGTAACTTTTCAGAAAAAGTTAGCTCAGGTACAAATAAGTACTCATTGGGTTCCACTTTACTGATGTGACAGCCATACTAGATAGAAGATTATTTTAAGTTGTGCTTTAGCACTGAAGTATGTAAACTGAAGAAGCTTGTTTCTTTAATGAGTCCTTAATAATAAATGAAAGGTGAAGGTTCCCTTGTTGCTAGGGGGACATAGGGATCCATAAGGGACATTTCCTGGCTGCTAGTGAAAGTTTGGAAGTATTAGATCTACTGATGGAGGTTAGGATTTTAGTAAATAGTATAGATAATGAGGCATTAGCATCTCATAGCTATGTGAAAAGAAGTGGCTGTTTTTAAAAAAGTACACAGCATAAAAATTAGCAATTTACTGGATGGTGGCGGTGCACGTCTTTAATCCCAGCACTCGGGAGGCAGAGGCAGATGAATCTCTAAGTTCGAGGCCAGCCTGGTCTACAGAGTAAGTTCCAGGACAGCCAGGACTGTTATATAGAGAAATCCTGTCTTGAAAAACCAAAACAAAAAACAAAAAAAAAGAGAAGAAAAATAAATAAATAAAATTAGCAACTTTGTAGTAGATGAAAATACTCACGAAAACCCCATGAATTCTACTTTTAGGGACTGATGCAGTGGTAAGAGATTGTGAATTGTTCTAATTGCTGTACAATTCTTGGCATTTTGATATTTTTACTTCCATTTGATTTTTAAGATTTATTTATGTATATGAGTGTCCTATCTGCATGTACACATTTATGCCAGAAGAGGGTATCAGATCCTGTTTATAGATGGTTGTGACCTACCGTGTAGTTGCTGGGAGTTGAACTTGGGACATCTGGAATAACAGCCAGTACTCCTAACTGCTGAGCTATCTCTCCAGTTCTTCCATTTGATTCCTACATGTGCCACTTTTTGAAGGAGTATTAGAATATTGATTTGTGGATGATCCAATAAAATCTTTGTAAAAAATGTCCAAGGAAAGATACCTTTTCACATAACTTTTCCATCTGATTTCTGAAAATGACCACAGTTGTCTTAAATATTTCTCAAATTTTAAAATTCAAATTACATTTCATTATAGTTTAATGAAGTTCTAAATTATACAGGAAAAACGATAGAAGCAGAAACTTTTTTTCCATATACTTTTTGGCTATCTGTATAAAATAGAATACTAATTATTCAGTACCAGACAGATTTTGGGGAATTTTATATGGCAATTGTTCCCATCATTATCATGCATAGCTTGCACATAGGTATTTGAGAAATAGGCAGATATTGACTGTTAATAAATGTGCTCAGAAAAAATAGCCTGTTGAAAATATTAGTTGCTAGAGGAATTACTGCTCTACACAGCTCTGAAAGTGTAGGCACTATTGAAAGTAATCTAAAGAAAAGAGACTTGAAAATAAGGGCTGAAAAGATGCTTTTCCAGTAGCATCAATTCCCAGTACCCACACAGCAGCTTTGGTTTCAGGGGATCCAACAGCCTCCTGTGGCCTCCACAGGCACCAGGCATACAGGTATACATGAACTATTTGAAAAAAATATTTCAAGATAATTTATACTTTCAATAACTCATGATTATAATTGTGTATATTATATAAAATATATTTATGCGTAGTAAATATATTTATGGCAAGAACATATTACTGCAACTAACAGATAAAAATTATGATTTTTGACTTTTTTGGTTATAAAAAGAAATAATTTAGTGAGCTAATATTTCATGATTATGGCATGCTAAGTACATATTATAAAATATGTTCTTATAAACTATCCTAAAATTTAAGAATGGTTGTTAGTATAATATTTTGGGTGAGAATATAAAATATATATTGTTAGCAAGAGTTAAGGCCTTTGGAGCTGTAAGGAAACTGGTAATTCACAAAACTGGACAGCATTCTCCCTCCTCTCTTAGTCTTTATCTGTTAATGGATAGAGTTGCATCTCTGGACTTTAGACCTGAAAAGCTGCCCTGAGAGAGCTACCTTAGGGAGAAAGCAGAAGCAGCTTTTGTGACCTTTGAAGTGTCATTTCCTCCATTAGCCTGGGCGTCTCTTTAGAATTTATGTTTGACCATGGGTGGAGGTCAGTGAAAGCAGACTCATCTAACTGCAGATGGACTTGGGTAGGCTTTCATTTTTGTACCTTTTCAAAAGTAGGAGCAGAAGAAAATAGCTGCTGACTCAGTTATATTGCTGTGTCTGTATGTGTGACACTTTAGACTTAAAAACATTTATTTTCTACTATTGGCAAAGTAGAACAAGTTTTAGTTTTAGTTATTGTCTTTGAATGAAGGGAATTGTTAATTTTGGCTGTGTGTACCTTAAACAGACTAGATTTGGGGCTGGGATACACCCGAGAGGTAGCGTACTTACCTAGCACACAAGGCCCCTCGTTTGACCTAGAGACACACACAAGTGCAAACACACAAGGCAGTATACTTCTGAACTTCCACTTACTGTGTAACTTGCATGCTAAATGGATACGTTACGTTTTAGTGTTGAAAAGATTTTTTAGTAATTACAGGAGGAGGTCTTCTGAGAAGGACAGGGACTTATTATGGTGTGGAAGAGAAGTTATCTGTTGTGCTGATACTGTATCTAGAAACGGATGGCTGTTTGGGTAGAGTGCGTGCTCTTGCCAGATATGTCAATACGTACTTAAATCCCAGCTACTTGGGAAGCTAAGGCTGGGGGATCAGAAGTTCGCCTCTAACCTGGGCAGCATAGCATATTTGGAACTGATGCGGCTCTAGAACCAGGCTGGCGGGAAGGCTCCTCTCAAGGAAAAAGCTTCTCTTTACAGCAATATGTTGCTCTTTCCATCAATTCTGAAGTATCAATTCTGAATGTTCTGCAGAGATGACATATAGTATAGTCCAAGACCAGAAGTGGGCTGAATTGCTTTTCCCCCAGTTTGCAGGGGCTCTGCTCTGACTCTCACTGTATTGTGGCAAAGGAGAGACATGAGAGATGGTAAACAGTATACATTTCATACCAGTCAGAGTTTGTATTAAGGTTGAGTTGTGTTTATTTGACTTTTAAATATGGTATTTGTTATTTCAGGAAATGTTTGTATATTTGTCCACTGAACTGAAGAAGTTGGCAGAGGCCCACAATGAAAGACTGCTACAGACACCTCATAACCCTATATCTTTAGGTAATTTTCTTTCTTTATAAAAAAGTTTTCTGAGATATTCTTAGGAGGAAGTTGTCATTTATAAAACAGTGAACTTGTTTTGATTATGCTGATACTTGTAAATATATCCCAGTATTAATTGATAGCTTGAGGTTTACTTAGCCTTTAGAAATGCTTTAATTTTCTCTAAGGTAAAGCCTATCTTGTGAAGGAATCAGTCGATAGTAAACAACGAATATGCAGGAGGTAATTTAGGGCTTGCATCTTATGCTGAAAATTTGTTCAGTTAACGAAGCACCCGCATAGCGTTTTCAGTGCCTTTGCTTATTTTCCTCAGCCTCTGTATGTTAGGAAGAGCTGTATCATGAACTGATTTACTGATACAAGGACTAGCAGTTCTGTTAAGTAGTTCAGGGACTATTGAAGTGAATATAGTGGACTAGAGGGATTCCCAGTGGTCAAGAATGCTTACTGCTCTTCCAGAGGATTTGAGTTCAGGTCCCAGCTCTGAGGAGGTCAGCTCACAACTGCCTTTAACTCCAGTTCTGGGGAATCTAACATCCTCTTCTGGCTTCTGAAGCACCCAAACATACATGCACATGCCCACAAACACATAAATAAAAGGCATTTTTTAAAAGTGAATAATTGACCTTTACATATTTTATTTAAAAACTTCATAATTAGTTTGTGAATATGTGAAGTAAAATATGTTTTATATTTCTCATCTAGTTGAGGAAAGTGAATCATTTATATCTGAAACCTTTTTGAAATGTACATTCATGGAGGACCAATGTGGGTACCAACACCCTAATACAAAGCCCCTAATCCTTTGCCCACATAGCATGTTGGCAACATCAGTTCTACCATGCTTTAGTTGCTAATCCCTTTTCCCTATCTCTAAGATAGAATAATAATCTATTATGCAAAATTGCTTATGAATGGTTGGTTGTCTTAGGGTATCTATTGCTGTAGTGAAACAACCATGGCAAAAAAAGCAAGTTGGGAGGAAATGGTTTATTTGACTTATACTTCAGCATTGCTGTTTGTCGCTGAAGGAAGTCAGGACAGGAACTCAAGCAGAACAGGATCCTGGAGGCAGGAGTTGCTTACTTGCTTGCTTTCCATGGCTTGCTCAACCTACCTTCTTGTAGAACTTAGGATCAGCAGCCCAGGAATGGCACCATCCACCATGGGCTGGGTCTTCTGTCATTGATCACTAAATGAGAAAATGCCTTACATCTGGATCTCATGGAGACATTTCCTCAGTTGAGGCTCCTTCCTCTCTGATGACTCTAGCTTGTGTCACGTTGACACACAAAACCAATCACTACAACAATGAGTGTAAAGTGTCTAGCTTTGAAAGCCAGTCTTCAGTAAACAATGGCTACAGAAGTGGTGGGTTACCAAGCATGTGGTTTACCATGAGGTCTCAGAATGACAGTTGTACGTTTGTGTATGCAGAAGTTGATCTTGGGCTTATGTGTACTGACATATATACATACAATATGCTTAAAGTTCATATAACTCGGTTTCATTTAGTTAGCAGCTCCATTGATCACAGTGATATGAAAACTTTGTCCATGATTTGTGAACATGTTTGCTTAGAATTGTGTTTGTCTGATATGGCAACAATCCTTGCTATAATTTATCAAGTACAGTAAAGTGCTGTTATGCTATGGAACAATGAATCAAAGTAGTGTCTTAATCTTATTTGTCTTTGGTGGGTGTTATAATCCAAAAGCTTGTTGGATTGCTTTTGTTTTTGTTTTCTTCTAGCTATGACACTTAGAACACTTGGTGGACAACATGGCAAAGCTGTCACTCAGCTTGGCTCAATGCTTTTTACCAGACAAGTTTCTGGAGCCAGGTGAGTAGATTGAAGAGATAAGTTTATTGCTTTTGATGTCACCTCAAGGCACAATATGTGTCTGTCCCTCAACCCCCAGTGCCATCTGTAGCTTTTGTGATCTGTTTTGGTTTCAGCCTATGGTTTTTCTAATGGATTTTCAAGACTTTTGTAATCTTAATAACTTCTAAGCTCCATTTCCTAAGTTTTAAGAACTTGAAAGTTCAAATGGAAGATACTGTTTATGTGCATGCCAACAAATGAAAGCCTGGTGATATGAGTGTTGTCCAAGACAATGATACCTAGGCCCCAAGGCATGCATGGTAAGCACCTGACCATGGATATATTCCCAGTTCTTTTTTTCTTTTCAGACAGTGTCTCACTAAGTTGTCTAGGCTGAACTTGAACTTACTGTATGGCCCAGCCAGGCCTAGAACTTGCAAACCTCCTGTCTTGCAAGGCCAGTTTCTGTGTAGATTTTTGTCTACTTCGTTCTTAGATGATCTTCAGTACTATCACATAATAGTAGACTAGTAATAAGTCATCTTGCTATCAATTTCAAGTGGAAAGGTTGCTAAGAAATACTGTTTTCTAATTGTTCTAGCTAGATTTCTGTTGCTGTGATTAAAACACTCTGACCAAAAAAATTGGGAAGGAAAATGTTTATTTAGCTTATACTCCAGGTCATAGTTCATCATTGAGGGAAGTCAAGGTAGCAACTCAAGCGGGAACTGAAGTAGGAACCAGAGAGGAGAGATGCTTTCTGACTTGTTCATTCTTAACTTTCTTAAATATCCCAGGACCATCTGTCTAGGGTTAGTATTGCCCACAGTGAGCTGAGCCCTCCTACGTTAATTAGCAGTCATGGTAATATCCGACAGATAAGCCCAGAGGCCAGTCTGATCTGAAGTTCTCTCTTTCAGTTGACTTTAGGTTGTGCTAGGTCGACAATAAAAATTATTCAGAACATTGAACTAAGAGAGCTATGCCTTTCTTGACCAAGTATTTATTATCTTAGAAGCATTCTTTCCACTCACATGTACATGAGCATCAAAATCAGCTATTTTCCATTAGAGAAAAATGATGTATCTTGCTCTAAATGCTTTTATTACATCTCTATGGAAGCATTTTATTCTGATTAACTGTCTCAGTCAGCGTTCTGTTGCTTTGAATAGACACTATGACCATGACAGTTCTTAGAAAGCAAAGTATTTAATTTGGGCTTGCTTATAGTTTCAGAGGTTTAGTTCATTTTCAGCATGGTGACTGGCAAGCAGACATGGTGCTGGAGAAATAGCTGAGAGTCCTACATCTGTATCTGCAGGCAGCAGAAAGGGAGAGGCTACACCCACTCCAACAAGACCACACCTCCTAATCCTTCAAATATATCAGTCTATGGGGGACCATTCTTATTCAAACCACTATACTCGCAAAGGATAAAATGTCTGTGTTAAAGGACTTGGTTTTTATTGGTGCTTTGGTCGGATCTTCCTGGAAGCTGGAGTCGTAGGTGGGTTGTGAACTAGCTGATCCATATTGCTGGTAATGCAAATTGGATTCTCTGGGTCTTCTGCAGGAAGAGTATGAGCTCTTAACCACTGAGCCATCCCTCTGGTTCCATTGTTTTGTTTCGTTTGAGCTAGTGTCTTGCTATGTACTCTGGTTCAGGATCCTCCTATCTCTTCCAGTGTTGACCACAGCTGACTAAATGACAGCTTGTTCAAAGAAAAATAAATCTTAGGTCAATTCAGCTTGAGAAACTGTCTCTGTGCCGTACAGTTTTGATGCTTTTGAAAAGGTTTTGTAAGAGGCTACTATTTGTCTTTATATGTGGGTTGACCTTAATTGTTTGCTTGCTTGCTTGCATGCTCTTTTCCTCCCTCCCTCCACCCTCCTTTCCTCCCTCTCTCCACCTTACCTTCCTCCTTTCCTCCCTCCCCTCATCCCCCCTCTCTCTATCTCCTTCCTTTCTTTTCTTGTGTGTGTGTTTGAGACAGGGTTTCTCTGTCCTGGCTGTCCTGGAACTCACTCTGTAGACAAAGTTGACCTCTTAACTCACAGAGATGCGCTTGCCTCTGCCTCCTGAGTGTTGGGGTTAAAGGTGTGTTCCACCACCTCTTAGCCTTTAAATTGGTTTCTTAAAAAGTAAAAGATTAGAAATCTGCTTCTGCCTAAGGATTCTATGGAAGTCAACCTTAAATAATGCATATACTGTTGGTAGCTGTTGCTGTCTGCTGACCTCCACCCATTGAAGCAGTTACATAGTTTCTAGGTCTCACTGTGAGCCCTTTTATTACACAGTGCTAGTTACATGATTGGAATTGTCATTTGTTGATGGCGAGATAACAGTAAACCAAAGCAGTTTAGCTTATACAGTTGATGTCAGATTCTAGATTTGGCGCAAAACTAAATTTCTTATCACTTATGCTTTGAAGAAGATGTGAAGATTGGTGGGATTCCTTGAGCTTCTTGCTCCCATATAGAAGGTAAGTAATAGTCATCAGTAGGTAGGACTTTTCAGTTGCATTTTACAATTTCATTTTAGGCTGACAGGTTGTTTGCATAGGTCATGATTTATGCTGTTTCTTAGCTTCTTAATCGGTGGTTATATGGCTTAGTGAGACAGGTGCCTTGTTTCTGGGTGGCATCTGTTAACACCACCAGACACACCAGGTTGATAAATCTTTTCCCTTTCAGGGTTGTGCCTCTTGGTTCTGTGCAAACTGTGAGTGGCTACACTTTCCAAGGCTTCATGTCCCACACAGATAATTACCCTTGTGCTTACCTCAATGCGGCAGCAGCCATTGGGATGAAGACGCAAGATGTGGACTTGTTCATAAAGAGACTTGAGAAATGCTTAAACACAGTAGAAAAAGAACAAAATAAAGCAAGTGTTGTGTCTGGAGTTGACAATTATAACCGAGCTGGAGATGTGGACATTGAGGAAATGGCTTTGAAACTAGATAGTGTGCTAGGTGACAAGCACCAATGACCTTCTTCATGACACGGGTTTCTTTTTGCTACAGTTCATACAAGCACTTTAAAGGACATATGTAAAGTTTTTGAACTGAGAGTTTTGTAAAGAATGTTCTCTCAAGGAAGAGGGTCTGAGGGTAGCCGTTGGTGATTGCTGTTTTTAATCCTTAGAATACCTCAGTCCTTATGATTCTTAACAGGTTATAAAATGCAGTTGCATTGAATGTTTTCTGATTGTTACATTAGTTAAGCAACACAATTCAGATGATTCTTACTAATATAAATTGTAAAGTTACATGTAATTCTCATTGAAATACAGAGTTCTTCTTAGCCGTTTTCCAGCATTCAAAGATTTCTTTTGTTTCTGATCACACAGAATTGAGAAAGATGTTTCTAGTGCTGCTAAATACTATATGTTTGTTTAGCTGTCTCTGTGCCTATAAAAGGGATTTCTCAAGGAAGCAGAGCCAGGGCATACACTTGTTGTAAACTTAAGGGCAGTTGTTCTCAACTGGAGTGACTTGATTATACATAAGCAACGTGTAGACCCAAAGTGGTGCTAGTGACATTAAATGGTAGAAGCTAGCAGTTTTGCTCAACATCTTACCTACTGCCCAATACATGATTTCCACAAAAGAATTCTCAAAAATGTCAGTATTGATGTGGGTCAAGGAAGTGAGCTCCTCAGTAAAGTTGCTTTATGCAGCATCTTGGTCATGTGCTGCCTGATGGCATTGTTATTCATTGTGGACTGCATGGAAGTCAGTGGTCCCATGAGATACAGCACCTAGTGATATGATGCCTCTCTTGGCTTGTTAAGTATTTGTCATGCTGTTCACATACATATAAAACCAGCTAATTATACATTTTTAGACCATATCTCAGGGTTATGTGACTACATATCAAAAAAAGATAGCTCCATGAATGTTACGAAGTGTACTGCATAGAGACAGCCAGAATCACTAGTTCTAAACAAGTGATTATAAGTTGTTTTATATAGGACCTGCTCATTTTTCCATTTGGGCAACTGAAAACTGTTCCCCATTCTGTCTTGACTTTAAGCAGCCTTTGTGAACTGACTAGTTCACTGAGGTAGTATGCATGGCCACCATCAGAACTAATATGCCTGACTTTGAACATGTTCTTGCTAAAGAGGTCAAAATACAGTACTGCAAACCTATGTTTTATATATAGGCAGAAAGAGAATATGTAGGTTTTCAGTACTCTTTCTGTGTATGTATGTCTGAAATTTCAGGCTCAATAGCTCTAACAGTGATTTTTGTTAATTTAAAACAGACTGGGGAATTAGTGAAGCCTCTTGAAAACGTCACCATGCCAAAGCTATATCTCTCAGACCTGTTCTGGGGAGCGTCATTCTACCCAAGACATACTCACAGGGAAAGAGCTCCATGGAGAAATGGGGAAATGTCTTTGTAGATTTGCTCATAATGTATTAAATGCTGCAAGAGGATTCCTTTAGTAAAGGTTGGCCTGCTTTTCCAAAGAGAAATCAGTTTTCCGAACTGAAACACTCGTTAATGTCTCCTGAAACATACTCTTTCAACACAATGGGCCAAATGCATTGACCTCCAGATTCTATTGCTTGTATTAGTTGTCACTGAGCTGTGTATGAAAAGGGGTCTTTCTTGTGTATGATCTTATAGGGTTTGTAAAGATGAGTTTGGCCAGATGCTGAGTGTGTAAGTTGGGCTTTGGGAGCCACTGATGACCATGGAAGTTAAGGCTGGCTGGCTGGCTGGAGATAAAGAGCTCACTTCCAGTTATCTAAGTGATTCCTAAATGTATTCTACACTCTGTGGGCCAGACACTGAAATGGATCTTAAGCCTACAGTGACTCTTTACACGGTAGTAAATCCTGGATTGAAAAGGTATGTGCTGTTTTCGTGGTGGATGCGGGACTGCATTGTAGACCTGATGAAGCTACAGAAGCCCAGTCTCCATGGAGCCCAGGAGGGTCAGATAATGCTGCCGATGGAAATGCTGGCAGTGCAGTTTCCTATGCATCAGGCCAAAATGATTTTCTAGAACAAGTGATCTATATTGTGTGCTCATCATTTTGCTTAAGAAAGGCCAGAGTCCAGAGACTGAAGATGCTTCCTCATCTGCCGAGTATCAGCAGTTCTTGGGCTTCAGCTGCTGAATGGATAATAATTCTAATTGAAGATAAATTACGTGAGCCCACATATGAATGATAGATATGGTATAACATTTATTCCTGGTGCATAAAGTCTGTTACAGTTTTGTTATTAACCCTTTCTCTTTTAAGTAGTTCTAAATTCCAGCTGTTCCTCTGGCTCCAAGCTTGATCCTAAGGTCACAGAACTAAGTTTTTTGGAAGGATAGAATGGTTCTTTGTCATCAGGCTTGCCTTCGCCCTCAACCCTGTATAACTTACCTAATTCCCTCCTGTTCACATATGCATGTTAAAAGGACTGTACCTAAGTGTCGGCCATGAAACACACTGCTTGGGATGCTTCATGATCTACCTTTGTTTGCTTCAGACTGGCAGTGAAGGACAGCATTCCAGTCGCTGCCTAAGACACTGCTACTATTTTCCTGGCCCAGCTCCTCTTATGAATAAGGTGTAAGGCAGATTTTGGAGGTTGGTTTTTAAAGTCATTGGGCTGGACTAGTCTGCTTAGAGAAGAGAACTGAATCACAGAATGTTTGGTCACTAATGTGGTTTACTCACACTGCAGGGAAAAGTCTCTGCTGATGCATCCTCACTGTCAGGGAAAGATGTGACTGCAACCTTGGACCCCCTGTTAACTGTGAAGCTTCCTCTTGGCTCTGGTAACAGTTGAACAGAGTCATATAGGATACAGTTCTGTTCCACCAATAGGTCTTTGATGTATAAATGGTAAATTTAAATATGATTTAATTAAATTAAATTTTTCTACTAGCTTGTTCCAGCACATAATTACTCCGTGATTCCATTTCTTTAACCACATGACATTAAGAACTGTCATTGAGGCCCTAGCTATAGAATAAATGTATGCCAATGGCTTCCACAGGTTTTAGTGGAACTTAAGCATATGTACTTACTTTTTACACTTCTGATAATATTGAATTAGTGATCTCCTTCTGGCAAGTTCAGTTTTATACCTTTTCCATGAAGTAGGTGGCTAGCATTGAAAATAGTTTTGGAAAACATTCATGAATCTCATTCATATTGTTATCAGAAAAATATTTAAATATATATACATTTGGTACTTAAGAAATTGGATTTGCTTTGCCCAGAAATTTAAGATGCAGTAATTTCTGTCAAGCCCAAAATGGTTTTGTGTTTTACATTGATAAATTTATATTGAGTTGAAAAATACCCAGTTTTATATGCACAGAAGTTAGTTAATTTCAGAAATTTCATAATCTCTGAATAATTTGATAAGAACCAACTGGCTATGCTAGTAACAAGTGTGCGTGCGTGCGTGTGTGTGTGTGTGTGTGTGTGTGTGTGTGTGTGTGTGTGTGCACGTGCGAGCGCGTGTGTGTTTGCTTGCTCGCCTGTGGTGGGGGTCACCCAGCCAGTGCTGGGTGCTTCCTTGTCTATCAGTTCTGCTCTTTGGACAGCCTTAGTCCACACGTCTGACTTGCTGCCTCCTTTAGTAAAATTGCCTTAATTTTACTTTCATTTTGGCCTCATGGTCTATGTGACATAAGATGATGATTTTACAGCTAATGCATATGTCTTTGTAATTTACCAGCCAATATTCTGCAGTTCAAGCTAAGTCTTTGGACAGAGCCAGATTGTGTTTGTACTATCCTTTTTTTTTTTTTTTTTTAAGTGGTACCAACAAGAGCTTTTGGAGAAAGGTGAAGGAAGGCCGAGTTGACTGTGTAACTGTGTGGTGGTAGGGATTGGAGCTATGAGACTATGATGCAGACCTGTGTATTACCAAAAGGGAGAAACACTTCTAGAAATATTTTTGGTATAGACTGTTTAAAAATAAAAATAAATTGTATAATTTATTACATGAAATAAATTTTTAATAACTCACCGATAGTACCTTATATTTTACTGGAGCATTACTACAGATAACATCTGAAAGTGCCCTCTTCCTAATTCCATCATCAGTATTAGCTTGCCCAGAAGTCAGCAAGGAAAGTATGGTTTGAAATGGAAATCATGTATTATGGCTTTTGACTGTGGAAAGTTGGCACTTAGCAGTATTTAATCAAGGACCTACAAGATGGCCCAGTGAGAATAGGCACGTACCACCCAGCCTTACAACCCTAGTGACCCATGTGATGGAAAGGTAGAACTGACCCCTGCAAATTGTCTTTGACCACACACATACTCCAGTGTGCGCGCACACACACACACACACACACACAAAATGTAATACATTTTTAAGAACTCAGTATTTGAAAGTAAGAGATTCTATCAACTTCAAATTTTATTGTTGACCTCTGCGTTTCTAAATTAGGCACTTGTCATTAGTTGGGAGTTTGAGTCTCTCTGTTACTTCACCATGAACTCATGATAGAATGGCTCCAAATCTTGGTCAAATCAGATGTGAAATGGGGACCTCCCTAAAGACTGAGGATCAAATGGATAATAAATGCAAGTAATAATAATAATTGTTTCATGGCCTGAAACAGCATGAACTGTAAGTACCAACATTTGCATGAAGCTGTATTGTATTAAATTGTGCTAGGTTTAAATGAAAACGTGTTCTAAGATGGACTATTGGGGAATCTTACCCATTCTCAGTGGGAAATCCAAAAACTGATTTGATTTTAGATGACTCTTTAATTTTCAGGGTTCTCCTATTTGTGTGTGTGTGTGTGTGTGTGTGTGTGTGTGTTTAGTTTTGCAGTTTCATTTGAGAACTGAAAAACATATTAAGGTGTATTGACTATTTTTTTGCATCTGAAGTTACATATTGTAGCCTAAGGAAGACTGTAGTTGTTTTTTACTCTTTTGGGGGACCCACCACCCAATTCCCAAATGAATCACATAAAGGCCCAGCCTTGGCTTGTTTCTAGCCAGCTTTTCTTAAATTATCCCATCTACCTTTTGCCTCTAGGCTCTTCTATATACCTTTTCTATATACTCTTTCTTTTCTGTATACCTGTTTTTACTTCTTACTCCATGGCTTTTTCTGTAGCTGGGTGACTAGACCTGGGAGTCCTCTTCCTTTTCTTGCTTCTAGATCTTTTTTCTCTATTTTCCTTCTGTTCTCTCTACCTGGCAGCCCCACCTATCCTTTCTCTGTGAGTTCAAGGCCAGCCTGGTCTACAGAGTGAGATTCAGGAGAGCTTCAGGACACCCAGAGCTGTTACACAGAGAAACCCTGTCTCAAAAAACCAAACCAGAGAGAGAGAGGGAAAGGGAGAGGGGAGGAGACAGAGACAGAAACAGAGACAGAGACAGACTTTTTCCTTGGTTCTGCTCTACAGTCTTCACATTATAAAAGCCCATGTGACCCTTTAAAAGCGTACGGTGTCACTCATGACTCAGGCTTTTGCAACAATTCCCTGTATCATTTAGACAGCCGAATTACCCACTGTCCACAGGGGCCCTGCCACATCTAACCGTCTTGTCCCCAGCCCCACCATCTTTCTGACTCCTTCTTTATCACTGTCCAACCAAACTGGCCAACTTGCTGCTGTTCAATCCCCCAGAACACCTTGCCTCAGAGCTTCGGCCCAGGCTCCTGGTTAAACTCACTTTCCTTATGGTTTTTGTTTGTTTTTGTTTTTTTGGTTTTTCGAGACAGGGTTTCTCTGTGGCTTTGGAGGCTGTCCTGGAACTAGCTCTTGTAGACCAGGCTGGCCTCGAACTCACAGAGATCCGCCTGCCTCTGCCTCCCAAGTGCTGGGATTAAAGGCGTGCGCCACCAACGCCCGGCCCTTATGGTTTTATTAAATCCACTTTTCAAAGAGGTCTATTCACATGACCTTTTTAAGAGCGATGGCTGTCTTCTCCTTCGTCCTCAAGTGTATGGACTCAGTGTTGGTGTGCTGCGAGCCACTGGAGTTCTGAGTATGGCAGATTATGATTCAGTAGGTCAGGCCTGTGCTGTGTGTGGCACAGACCTCTGTGGTAGCTGTCCTAGTGGTCCTCGCCTGTTGGCTGTGCCTCATGCTGAGGCGCAGAGGTCTAACACGGCATGTGATTTATAGGTTTGTGAGAGTGTGTTTTCTCCTATGTCCCTGGCTAGGCCATCAGCCCCACCAGAATGCATTCTCTTCACTCATATTCTAAGCACCTAAGCAGCAGCTGCCACATGACACTCTGCTATTTATTGTATGAAAGATTGAAGAGGGATTAAATATTTATGCAGCTGTGAATCCCATCATGTCTGATTGAAACTCTCCAATAGTTCCATCTCTAATCCATCCCAGAATCTTGCCTTGAGGTGCAGATGCAGGGGTCCTGCTCTCCTTGTGCAAGGGGAGCCTCACACTCTCTCCCCGCCAGCTGCAAGGAGGGGCCTCACCTGACAGCCTCCTTGCTGTTATAGGGTCAGCTTTAGCCTGTCAAATCAAAGTCACAGTCATTGGCCAGTGTCTGAACATGGCAATATCACAAGGCCACCCACTGCTGTGTCCTCCTCTAACAGGCAGAGGACTTTGCCTGGGGACTTTCACCTGGCTGGCAAGCATACCATATCAGCCTAATGATTCCTCTGCCTTGGCTGAACTCCCTCCCTCCCCCTCCCCTTCCCCCCTCTCCTCCTCTTCCCTCTCCCTCCCTCCTTCCCTCCTTTCCTCCCTCCCTTCCTCCCCCTCCCCCTTCCTCCCCCTCTCCTTCTCCCCTCCCCTCCCCTCACCATCCCTCCCTCCCTCCCTTGTTTTGTTTGACAGGCATTGCTCCCCAGTAAACCTTTTCTAGCATGGCTGCCTCATCTGCAGTGTGTGGGTGGGGGGTATACTCACTTGTGTGCATGGGAGCAAGCCAGAGATCGACTTTAGATGTCCTTCTCTGTCACTTTCCATGCTATGTTGAGACAGGCCCTCTCACTGAATCTGTTACTTGCTATTTTGACTAGACTGGTTGGCCAGCTAGCCCCTGGTATCCTAGCCTATGCTCCTCCCTCAGTGTTGCCATGCGCTGTTTTTATGTGGATTCTGGGGCTCTGAACTGAGATGCTCATGCTTGCACACTGAACACATTACCTCTCAGCACCTAGACTGGCGTCATTTTCTAAGTCATGATTTTGAAATCCCAATTGCTTTTTTTTTTTTTTTTTTTTTTTTTTTTGATTCTTCGAGACTGGGTTTCTCTGTAGCTTTGGAAACTGTCTGGGAACTCATGCAATAGACCAGGCTGGGTTTGAACTCACAGAGATCCGCCTGCCTCTACCTCGAGTGCTGGGATTAAAGGCGTGCACCTCCACTGCCTGGCCCCGCCTACTATTTATAAACTTGTGTCAAGACTTCAGTTTTCGCATATTTTTGATAAGTGACCCATAGACCCTGAATGAATGGCAAATTTTCCAATGAAGAATCTCCAGAAAGGCTTCCTGTCATGGTCAAATAAGGACTACAGAAGGAGAGGTCACCTTCAGCCTTAGCCTGCCACAAACGACAGTTGGCCTGGTTAAGTTTCATTGTCGGGGGCTTGAGAAATGGCTCAGAGGTTAAGAACACTGACTGCTCTTCCAGAGGACCTGGGTTCAATTCCCAGCACCCACATGGCAGCTTACAACTGTCTGTAATTACAGTTCCAGGGGATCCGACATCCTCACATAGACATGCATGCAGGCAAAACACCAATGTACATGAAATAAAAATAAATAAATTATTAAAAAAAAAGTTTCATTGTCAACTTGATGCACCTTTAATTGTGGAATTGCCTCCATCAGGCTGGCATGTGGCCATGTCTGTGAACAATGGTCTTGAGAGGTGATTGATGTTGGTGGGCCCAGGCCACTGTGGGTGGCGCCATCGCTAGGCAGGTGGGCCTGGGCTATCTTAGAAAGCTAGCAGAGGCCGGGCGGTGGTGGCGCACGCCTTTAATCCCAGCACTCGGGAGGCAGAGGCAGGCGGATCTCTGTGAGTTCGAGGCCTGGCTGGACCGACAGCCTCCAAAACAATACAGAGAAACCCTGTCTCGTAAAAAAAAAAAAAAAAAAAAGAAAGAAAGGAAAGAAAGCTAGCTGAGTGAGCTGGTAACCACCATTCCTCTATAGTTTCTGCCTCAGTTCCTGCCCTGTCTGCCCTCCATGATAGACTGTGGTCTGGAAGTGTAAGATGAAATAAACTCTCCCTCTCCCTCGCTTTAGGTCAGACTGTTTTATCACCACAGCAGAAAAGCAAGCTAGAACACTGGGCGACCTGACCTTCCAAAAGCTAACTTTTGACTCATCTGAAAGGATAACAAGACCTCCTGGGACTGAAATAAACATGCAGTGAAATTTTATGTGTGCGATGGAGCTAGGGGAGGGTGGGTATGTAGCCCTGGTCCCGTAGTAGCTATTATCGAATGCGTGTTAACACAACACACGGAATGGACACGATCTTTAATGAAACAGCATCGGAACTGGGCTTTATGCAGTGCAGCTGTGTTGGCTTGGCATTTATCACGTCCTCTCTGTCCCAGTGAAAACGGGGGAGACTGCAGCTATGGGAGATGAGCCCCACTCTCGGAGTTGGCTTTGCTCCCACCCCTTGCCTCCCGCTGCTGGATTCTCTTCTTTGTCTTAAGGCATTTTTGTGCTGTTAGAAACGCAGATGCTTCCGGAAATAGCTAACTGTTCACCCTTATCAGTTAAGGACTTCTTAGCTGGGGAGAGTTTATCAGATGTTCCTGAATAGGTTTTTTTAAGAAGCAAAAAAAAAAAAGAAAGAAAGAAAGAAAAAAAAGAAAAGCAGAACAAACTTTAGCATAGAAACTTTCAGTCTAAGCTGTCTAGTGCCTGCCATTCAGTGTCCACCGGTGCGCCCTAGCCATGTAATTGGCACTTACAAAGTCCGATTTTGTTTCACTGGCCCCACTAGCCACACCTCTCTGGTTTGTGGTTGAGGCTCATAGCCCCACCCAGACAT